CAATTGTTTACTGCTTTTCTCCCTGGTATTGTCTCTATTGTTTTTTCAGAAACTTTTTTTTTCTATCTGGACCTATCTGGAGCCTTCTTCAGCATATATTGCTGTTCTTTTTCTGTATTAAACATATTAAAAATAGATTTTTATCATGAATACTTAATTTGGGACCCCTTGTATTTAGCTTACCTCCACTTTTAGAAAAGTCACTTATTGATGTACCAACAATGACTTATACAAGCATGACTTTACAGTGTATCTCTAGCTCTGATTCCTTACTTTTTCCCCAGTATAAAACTTCTTGCTTTTAAGACCTCCCACTTTTTAAAAGTTTGTTTGTTTGTTTATCTATGAGTAAGAGAGTTGGGGAGAGAGCAAGAGAGAGACTCCCCTAAATGGGCCTTAATGTTGTGATCCAGCCCTATCTTCAGCCAGATTGGATCATGGGCACACATTTGTTTAGCATACGTACTCAGGGAGGTCTCTGGACCTGGAACCTTCCCATGTGAGTTGGGTTATAACGTTTTCTGATGTGCCACGGTCTGGCCTCCCAGAACGACTGTTATTGCATGATATGGTGTCAGTCACCATGGAGCTTTAATTAATGAGGTACATATATATATATATATATTTTTTTTTTTTTTGAGAGGTTTTTGCCATAGGGTGCATGCGCTCGCCATAAAGACACAGAGCAAGAGAGAGACAGAAAGCGAGAAATCATCCCCCGGGTGGATGGCCATGCTGCAATCCCTTCTCCATTCTCCTCTCGGGATCTTTGGTACGTATGCACATGCACCCGGCATGAGTTTAAGCCACCAGGTCCGGAAGTCGAACTGCGGTCAACTATATGGGAGTCCAGCAACATAGCCATTATGCTAACCGCTGGTCCCAGGTACATGTTATATTAAAACTCAGAATGGGGTCAAAGAGTGGTGTGGTACTTAATATGGCTGCATCCCACCAGTACGGTTTGAGTCCCAGACCCATCGAGTTGAAAGACATACCAGGCATGTGTGCATGTGTGTCCCTCAAATCCCAAAAGGAGAGAGAAATGGAGGAAATGAGATTGTGATGTGACTATCCCCCATGGGAGATGATCCCTTCCACCCCTGTTTCCAGGGAGTGCACGCATGTGCCCTCTGGCGAAATTATAAACAAACAAAAAGCTCAGAATGAAATTCAGGATCTAATTCATACATTTGTTTGTTTATTAATTCTCTGGCCATATGTTTATGTATCCATTATGTGTGAGTCAGTTGAAAAAGCTACACTGTAACTTATTATTATTTAAAATGTTTGGTTGGGTCAATACAATATCATTGTTGGGGTTAAGATAAGAATATAATGTGAAGACTAAAGAATAAAATACTAGATTTAGAGAGGGCTTATTATGTATTGCAAATATTTTAAAAATTAACTTTATATAGGGTAATACTTGTGAAATACTGCTTAGAAACCTAGCAAGGTTTTGAATATAATAATTTTAAAGTTGTGCTCTGGAACATATTTTTTTTTTTTTTAAAGGTTTTTCGCTATAGGGCGTGTGTGCTCACCAGACAGACAGACAGAGAGAGACATAGTGACAGAAAGTGAGAAATCACCCCCCAGGGGGGATGGTCACGCCGCAATCCCTTCTCCTCCATTCTCCTCTCGGGATCTTGGGCACACACGCACATGCGCCCGGTGTGACTCTGGAACATATTTGAGAAAAATAAGAAGTTATATAGCAGAAAACATCTATTCTAATTTTGTTCTGTTTACCTTTGAGAAGAATAAAGTTTTTTTTTTTAATGTGAGAGTACTTTTTGAATATTGCTAAAGCCATCTAATTAGACTTATAAATAAGCCTGCAAAGTAATACATTGAAGACTTTGCCACACATGTTAATAAGTTACACATTAGATATAAAATGTGGAGATGGGTTAGCAACTGTAGAGAGCCTCTTGCTGCTCGTTGGTAGAGAAAAACAGTTTTTAAAATCACTTTCTGGTTTGTGGTTACTTTGCTTTTTGCCCTACCTAATCTTTAGTGATACCTTTAGTCATAACTGTTACTCACCTTGGAGCCTAGGGTTAATGGAAATAAATGTTTTCTTACAGTGTTATAAAATTTGGTAAGGACAAAGAAAAGCCTTCAACTAGCAAACACTATTGGTTTTTAATTTTCTGTTAAATATTTATCCTATACTTTATAGAATTCCACTGGCTTCTTTCTAGTATGATAATTAAATCCAATTAATTTCAGGTCCTATTTTTAATGTTTATACACTTTCTTTTACAAATTTTTAATGGGAACCAGCAGTTAGCGTAATGGCTATGTCGCTGGACTCCCACGTAGTCGACCGTGGTTCGTGTCCCGGACCCGGTGGCTTAAAACTCACGCCGGGCGCGTGTGTGTGCGTGCCCAAGATCCCGAGAGGAGAATGGAGGAGAAGGGATTGCGGCGTGACCATCTCCCCTGGGGGGTGATTTCTCGCTTTCTGTCTCTATGTCTCTCTCTGTCTGTCTGGCGAGCGCACGCGCCCTACAGTGAAAATCTCTCTCAAAAAAAATTTTTTTAAATAAACTTGTATTTTAAATTCATTTATGTTGAACTTTTTTTTATTAATTGCCAGTGAGTGTATGTACTTGCTAGAGAGAGAAAGAGAACAATAGATGGAGAGAGAGAAGACCTCTCAGTGGAGTGTAGTTTTGTTGCAATTTTTTTCCCTCCATTTCTCTATCTCGTCAGGATTTGGGGCATACATGTACACATGCCCTCTGTGTTTTTCGTGCTGCCAGGGCTGGGATTTGAACTACAGTCAGCCATATGGGATCCAGCTTCTTATGCACAGCACTTAACCTCTGTAGTATGGGGCTGACCCTCTTACCTTCTTAAGATATTTTTCCTTTTATAAAGTTTAAAGTAACTTGTCACCTGAAATAATTTTATAAGTTTTACTATATGAAATTTATTTTCAGCTTTATTTAGGTATAATTTACAAAATTATGTTCATTTATAGTTTTAATGATGTTTTAATATATGTGTACATTGTGACATGATAAGGCAATTAACACATCCATTACCTTACATTCTTTGTGTGTGTGTGTGTGTGTGTGTGTGTGTGTGTGTAGTAAGAACATTTAAGATCCACTCCCTTAGCAATTTTCCAATCTATAATACATTATTATTAACTGTAGTCACCATGCTGTGCTTTGGATCTCCTGCCTGATTGAAGCTTTGTACTCTTTGCCCAACATTTTCACATCTCACCTCCCATTCACTGGCAACTTTCTGTTTCTATGAGTTCGACCTTTTTAGATTCCACATATAAATGCAGTTATTTGCCCTTCTGTGTCTGGCTTTTTTTATTTAGCATGAGGTCCTCTAGGAACTTGCTTGATTTGGTAATTTAAAACTACATGGATGACATTTAAAATGTTCAATTCTCATAATTTTATGGCTCAGTAAATATTCATAGGTATTAACCTATATAAGTAAAAGCCCTTTTAGGGTCTCAATACTTTTTTAAAGTAATTTTTTATTTTAAACAATCATAGATTTCCCTAAAATTTTACTATAGAGAGTACCTATATACCCCACATCCAGTTTGTTGCCCTCAGTGTTGACATCTCTATTACCATTGTAGATTTGTCAATACTATTATATTACAAGTAAATTCCAGACTTTGTCAGGATCTGACCAGATTTTTCATTATTGTCCTTTTTCTGTTGTAGGATCAATCCAGGATGCCAAATTGTATTTAATTGTCATTTCATCTTAATCTCCTTGGCCTGTAAAGTTTCTCAGTCTTTCTTTCTTTCTTTTTTTTTTTTAATGACCTTGTCAGATTTAAAGAATACTGGTTAGACAATGTGTAGAGCATCACTCAAATTGAACTGTCTTTAATGTTTTTCTCCTGATTGTACTGAATTCATGGGTTTTTGAGGAGAATACTAGAGAGATAAAATGCCTTTCTCATGACATCACATTAGGCAATACATGATATTCACATGATACCATGGCCAATGTTAGCCTTTAAGGACATATTTGCCAGATTTATCTACTATGCAGTTACTGTAGCCCCCCCTTTTCATACTTTCGTCTCTGGAACTGAATCGTTATGTCCAACCTAACATCAGCA